TTTTCAACGCATCAAATTGTTTACATTTTTTTTTATTACATTTTTTGAAATGTCAGAAAAGTAAACTTTTTGAAAGTTAAAGTAGTATTAAACTTCCAAACTCTTTTTGATAATGAAATCAGATGAAACAAATATACATTGTCAAGCAAAGTATTTCTTTACATTTTTGCCCAAGCACTCACAGCTATCATGTTGACAAGCAGCTGGCTCCAACTTTCTCAGCTCAGCTTCCCTGAACTTCCTGTCCAGTCCAAGATCATAAGGGACAGAGCAGTCTCCAGCAGCTGTCAACTACTAGCCTGGAGAAGGAATAAGGGAGGAAAAAGGAAGAAAGAGCAGAGGAGTGGCTTGCCTTGTCTGTGCGTTTGTAGAGACACAAACAGCTTACTAGCACAGACAAGCAGGGCTGTCTTTACCACAGAAAAAAAGGGGCAACTGCCCTTGGCCCCATAATTTACAGGGACTCACAGCTGTCCCTTTCGCCCTGAGCAGCAGACAGCAAATGAGCAGCGGCACTGCCAGTGGGGAGACCGGCCACCCGTTCTCCTCTAGTATCAGTTACCACCAAAGTCTGTGTGCCTACTCCTGCTGTGATCTCCTCCGATTGCTGTCACAAAGATCTGGCAGACACGGAGGAGAAGGAGGGCACATCTAGGCACAGCACAAGGCAGGTAGAATCTGAAAATGTATTTAATAAATGCACACATCCCAAGGTCTGGGTGCAGAACTGGAACCAGGAAGAATCTGGAATGTATTGCATTTACATGCATATCACTAGACACTTTTTGCGAGGTGTATTCAGTATAACTTGCAGCAAGTGTTCAGTGATATGCAGTCTAAATGCAATACAGATTTTACTAATATATCCATCTACTTGTACTACCTGATAAATACTATAGTAAAGTTTCAATTAAAAGTCTTATTGTATGACTTATTAAGAAGTGCAGAACAAATGTACCAATACATGGTTATAATAGTAAAATCAGTATTGCATTTACATTGCATGCCCCTACACTGGCTGCACTGCATTTGCAACATATGGATTCTACGTATGATATATATAGATGAATTTGTTAAAAATGCAATACACCGTGCAGTAAGTGTTCAGGGACATGCAATGTAAATGCAATACCGATTTTACTAATACTGGTACATTTGTTCTGTACTACTTGATAAATCATACAATAAGACTTTTAATTTAAATCTTATTGTATGGTTTATCAAGTAGTACAGAACAAATATACCAATACGTGGTAAATTTGTAAAATTGGTATTGCATTTACATTGCATGTCCCCGATCACTTACTGCATGGTGCATTGCATTTTCAACATATGCATTCCACAAATAATGTAGATGCATTGGTCAAAAATATGTATTGTAGAGTTCATTGCGTTGTCCTGAGTTTATTGCATTGCAGAGTCCTGCGTTTATTTCACTGCAAAGTCCATAGTGCATTGCGTTGCAGTGTCCTGAGTCCATTGCATTGCCGAGTCCTGAGCTTATTGCGTTGCAGAATCCTGAGTTTATTGCATTGCAGAGTCCTGAGCCCATTGCATTGCAGAGTCCTGAGTCCATTGCATTGTATTGCATTGTAGAGTCCTGAGTTTATTGAGTTGCAGAGTCCTAAATTTATTGCAATGCATATATATATACACACACACACGTTTTTAAATGTTAGTTTCTTTTTGGGGGGAAGGTGATGTAGGTGGATATGGGTCGGGATGGAGGCGGGAGGGTTGTGAGGGCCCCATCAGCAAAATCTTGCCCAAGGCCCAATTAATATTAAAGATGGCCCTGTAGACAAGGGTGGCTCCATAGGACCCTGCAAGGGAAATGAGCCATCAGGGGCCACTACACAGGGGATCAGCTGATTCTGCAGAAAGCTAAAACTTACAAACATCAAGGAGCAGCATCCATTGTAAGTGATGTAATCAGCATTTAAAATAGCTTAAAAACCTTTTGACTTTAACATCCCTTTAATGCACTTCCGATGCGTCACGGTGACCAACTGTGACTTCAGGTGAGCTACGGTTCATTGCGGCAAAATGCAGCATGTCAAGGAGACAGAAATTAATGGAAACTTCAGTATTTTATCGTTGTCATTAGAGCAAGAATTTAGGCAGAATCTAGCAATGGGGATGCCTGTTCCTTTGGCAACTATGAGAATTCTATTCACTTTGGAGACATTTCTCTAATTTCCTTTTGTGCCTCCAGGACAGGAAATGAAGGGAAATCGTCCCAACAGGACACAGGAAATCATCCCAACAAGATACCTGACAGTGGTTTTAAACATACCTTACTCTATCTAAAAGTTAACAAAATGGTTTCGGCTTTTACATACACTTTAAAGCCTAAATTCCACCATTCTGGGAGATTTCATGTTGCAAAGGTTGATAAATCACCTTTGTCAATAGTGCTGAATACATAAATGCTTCCTTTATGCTTTTAGACATTTTTGATGTATGCTTTCTGCTCAGCAGAAATTATTAAAATTTGACACTTCTAGTTATACCAGTGGAAAGCAGTTATGTTTTCCGAATACAACTCTTGTAGGAACTGCAAAATGTCTATAGACACAGATGTCCCTGGCTTTGCCAATGATACAAACTTCATCATTAGCCACTGGAAACAATGTACACTCAAAAACCTGACATGAAAGTGAAAAAATAAAGGCTAAATATCCTTATCCTCTGTATTTTTAGTTTTACACACACATATACACTGAGTGGCCAGATTATTATGACCACCTGACGTTTGTAGGCAAATTAGCTATAATTAGCTATAATTTCGCGCTGAAGTTGCTAGAGGGCCAGACCATTATAAATAGTGAAGCAGGTTGTTTAATATACTTTAAAATGACACTGAACTCTGAATTCATGCTGACACTGTCCTTCCTTCTGTAGGATGGTTACTTGTGTTCCCCATGGTCCCTGTCACTGGTGGAACTACCGAGGTCGCAGCAGTCGCTGTTGAAAAGGAAATGCCTCTGGGAGGGTTCTTTGTCTGCCCGGCTGATTGCCCTGAGAGAGAATTGGCGCAAACCACGAGATTCGGGCCCTAGATCATTTGCAGCCATTTTAGACGTGGTCAAAGGAATTTAAGCACAGGGCTAAAACATTTAACACAACGCATGCACAGGAGTATACTATGTTAGAAAAGTGGTTTAGCTAACTTTTTTCCCCCACGGCTCTCTTTTGAAGCTGCTTTTTGGTGTTTCTGGGTGTTTTTTCGCTATATGTCATACGGATTAAAGATGCCCATAATTAAGATGGCCACATTAGAACCTAGTTTCATTACAGAGGGCATGGGGCGCCTGAGGTACCCTGAGCAGAATCTCATGCGGTGTGCTAAGGAGAAAGTTTATTGAACTTGCCTGTGCATCTGAGATAACAGGAATGCCAGAAGTCATGTACTGTACTAGATCTGGTAGGTGAAAGGTTATAAACATATGTCTGCATTTCCTGCTTGTAAAGGTAGTACTCTCATTTACTAAACACAACTTCAATTTTGCCTTTATAAAGATTTGAAGCTGAAAACCTTTTTTAGACCTTCACATACTCAAAAGCGCATCTTTTGGTCATTGAAAAAAATTAATAGACGTGACTATGGCCAAAACTATTTTGGCTTTAGTTCTCTTTAGGATCGCAAGAGGGCATTTCCTAATGTCCACCTGTTTCCCAAAACTCAGCATATTGCGAATGCTGACAGCACAGGGCAGACAATATTGTCGGGATACACCCACTTGCCTTCAGTCATCTGTCCCGCCAGTCAGCGCAGGAGGAATGGAGAGGGGAGGAGAGAATCCTTGTGGGGAGCAGTGACTGATAGTCTGCAGGGAGAAGATCGTGAACTGAGCATTCAGGTTTGTATTCGCACAGCTCTCGATCAATAGAGCTGACGTGTGACAGCTACAGTAGGCTCATGCTGGCATCAGGCAAACTGTGACTGCAAGGGTGGGGTCGTGCCTGTGTCTATGGACGCACACAACTAGGTACGGGCACGGTTTTGAGCGTGCACACATGGGTGCATTCACAGCAGCCGGCTAGCTGATGGAGACACCCATACTGGAGGGGGGGGGGGGGGGGGGTTTTTATTTTTTT